CGACGAGCAGACTGTAGTACGAGGTTGTTTAGTGGAATTTCATGTTTTCTGTCGCTGAAAAAGGAAGCCCTAGATGCAGACTCTTTCCAGAAATTCATTTAATAACACCTCCACTAGGCTCTGTGCTCGATGGCCCTCTTCTAAGTCTTGTACGTCATCTCCGTTGCGTACACGACGAGCAGACTGTAGTACGAGGTTGTTTAGTGGAATTTCATGTTTCCTGTCGCTGAAAAAGGAAGCCCTAGATGCAGACTCTTTCCAGAAATTCATTTAATAACACCTCCACTAGGCTCTGTGCTCGATGGCCCTCTTCTAAGCCTTGTACGTCATCTCCGTTGCGTACACGACGAGCAGACTGTAGTACGAGGTTGTTTAGTCGAATTTCATGTTTTCTGTCGCTGAAAAAGGAAGCCCTAGATGCAGACTATTTCCAGAAATTGATTTAATAACACCTCCACTAGGCTCTGTGCCCGATGGCCCTCTTCTAAGTCTTGTACGTCATCTCCGTTGCGTACACGACGAGCAGACTGTAGTACGAGGTTGTTTAGTCGAATTTCATGTTTTCTGTCGCTGAAAAAGGAAGCCCTAGATGCAGACTATTTCCAGAAATTGATTTAATAACACCTCCACTAGGCTCTGTGCTCGATGGCCCTCTTCTAAGTCTTGTACGTCATCTCCGTTGCGTACACGACGAGCAGACTGTAGTACGAGGTTGTTTAGTGGAATTTCATGTTTCCTGTCGCTGAAAACGGAGGTCCTAGATGCAGACTATTTCCAGAAATTCATTTAATAACACCTCCATCCGCTTTTGTATTCGATGGCCCTCTTCTAAGTCTTGTACGTCATCTCCGTTGCGTACACGACGAGCAGACTGTAGTACGAGGTTGTTTAGTGGAATTTCATGTTTTCTGTCGCTGAAAAAGGAAGCCCTAGATGCAGACTCTTTCCAGAAATTCATTTAATAACACCTCCATCCGCTTTTGTTATCGATGGCCCTCTTCTAAGTCTTGTACGTCATCTCCGTTGCGTACACGACGAGCAGACTGTAGTACGAGGTTGTTTAGTGGAATTTCATGTTTTCTGTCGCTGAAAAAGGAAGCCCTAGATGCAGACTCTTTCCAGAAATTCATTTAATAACGCCTCCACTAGGTTCTGTGCTCGATGGCCCTCTTCTAAGTCTTGTACGTCATCTCCGTTGCGTACACGACGAGCAGACTGTAGTACGAGGTTGTTTAGTGGAATTTCATGATTTCTGTCGCTGAAAAAGGAAGCCCTAGATGCAGACTCTTTCCAGAAATTCATTTAATAACACCTCCACTAGGCTCTGTGCTCGATGGCCCTCTTCTAAGTCTTGTACGTCATCTCCGTTGCGTACACGACGAGCAGACTGTAGTACGAGGTTGTTTAGTGGAATTTCATGTTTTCTGTCGCTGTAAAGGGAAGTCCTAGATGCAGACTATTTCCAGAAATTCATTTAATAACACCTCCATCCGCTTTTGTATTCGATGGCCCTCTTCTAAGTCTTGTACGTCATCTCCGTTGCGTACACGACGAGCAGACTGTAGTACGAGGTTGTTTAGTGGAATTTCATGTTTTCTGTCGCTGAAAAAGGAAGTCCTAGATGCAGACTCTTGCCAGAAATTCATTTAATAACACCTCCATCCGCTTTTGTATTCGATGGCCCTCTTCTAAGTCTTGTACGTCATCTCCGTTGCGTACACGACGAGCAGACTGTAGTACGAGGTTGTTTAGTGGAATTTCATGTTTTCTGTCGCTGAAAAAGGAAGTCCTAGATGCAGACTCTTTCCAGAAATTCATTTAATAACACCTCCATCCGCTTTTGTATTCGATGGCCCTCTTCTAAGTCTTGTACGTCATCTCCGTTGCGTACACGACGAGCAGACTGTAGTACGAGGTTGTTTAGTGGAATTTCATGTTTTCTGTCGCTGAAAAAGGAAGTCCTAGATGCAGACTCTTTCCAGAAATTCATTTAATAACACCTCCATCCGCTTTTGTATTCGATGGCCCTCTTCTAAGTCTTGTACGTCATCTCCGTTGCGTACACGACGAGCAGACTGTAGTACGAGGTTGTTTAGTGGAATTTCATGTTTTCTGTCGCTGAAAAAGGAAGCCCTAGATGCAGACTCTTTCCAGAAATTCATTTAATAACACCTCCACTAGGCTCTGTGCTCGATGGCCCTCTTCTAAGTCTTGTACGTCATCTCCGTTGCGTACACGACGAGCAGACTGTAGTACGAGGTTGTTTAGTGGAAATTCATGTTTTCTGTCGCTGTAAAGGGAAGTCCTAGATGCAGACTATTTCCAGAAATTCATTTAATAACGCCTCCACTAGGTTCTGTGCTCGATGGCCCTCTTCTAAGTCTTGTACGTCATCTCCGTTGCGTACACGACGAGCAGACTGTAGTACGAGGTTGTTTAGTGGAATTTCATGTTTTCTGTCGCTGAAAAAGGAAGCCCTAGATGCAGACTCTTTCCAGAAATTCATTTAATAACACCTCCATCCGCTTTTGTATTCGATGGCCCTCTTCTAAGTCTTGTACGTCATCTCCGTTGCGTACACGACGAGCAGACTGTAGTACGAGGTTGTTTAGTGGAATTTCATGTTTTCTGTCGCTGAAAAAGGAAGCCCTAGATGCAGACTCTTTCCAGAAATTCATTTAATAACACCTCCATCCGCTTTTGTATTCGATGGCCCTCTTCTAAATCTTGTACGTCATCTCCGTTGCGTACACGACGAGCAGACTGTAGTACGAGGTTGTTTAGTGGAATTTCATGTTTCCTGCCGCTGAAAAAGGAAGCCCTAGATGCAGACTATTTCCAGAAATTCATTTAATAACACCTCCATCCGCTTTTGTATTCGATGGCCCTCTTCTAAATCTTGTACGTCATCTCCGTTGCGTACACGACGAGCAGACTGTAGTACGAGGTTGTTTAGTGGAATTTCATGTTTTCTGTCGCTGAAAAAGGAAGCCCTAGATGCAGACTATTTCCAGAAATTCATTTAATAACACCTCCATCCGCTTTTGTATTCGATGGGCTACTTCTAAGTCTTGTACGTCATCTCCGTTGCGTACACGACGAGCAGACTGTAGTACGAGGTTGTTTAGTGAATTTCATGTTTTCTGTCGCTGTAAAGGGAAGTCCTAGATGCAGACTATTTCCAGAAATTCATTTAATAACACCTCCATCCGCTTTTGTTATCGATGGCCCTCTTCTAAGTCTTGTACGTCATCTCCGTTGCGTACACGACGAGCAGACTGTAGTACGAGGTTGTTTAGTGGAATTTCATGTTTCCTGTCGCTGAAAACGGAAGTCCTAGATGCAGACTATTTCCAGAAATTCATTTAATAACACCTCCATCCGCTTTTGTATTCGATGGCCCTCTTCTAAGTCTTGTACGTCATCTCCGTTGCGTACACGACGAGCAGACTGTAGTACGAGGTTGTTTAGTGGAATTTCATGTTTCCTGTCGCTGAAAACGGAAGTCCTAGATGCAGACTATTTCCAGAAATTCATTTAATAACACCTCCATCCGCTTTTGTTATCGATGGCCCTCTTCTAAGTCTTGTACGTCATCTCCGTTGCGTACACGACGAGCAGACTGTAGTACGAGGTTGTTTAGTGGAATTTCATGTTTCCTGTCGCTGAAAACGGAAGTCCTAGATGCAGACTATTTCCAGAAATTCATTTAATAACACCTCCATCCGCTTTTGTATTCGATGGCCCTCTTCTAAGTCTTGTACGTCATCTCCGTTGCGTACACGACGAGCAGACTGTAGTACGAGGTTGTTTAGTGGAATTTCATGTTTCCTGTCGCTGAAAAAGGAAGCCCTAGATGCAGACTATTTCCAGAAATTCATTTAATATCACCTCCATCAGGTTCACAGTTCCCGGATTTACCAGGCGCCGGGCACAATGCCAGAAAAGTTAGAATTTGTGAGATAAAAGGATGGAAGTTTCAGCAAAAAGTCTATAAAAGTCTTAAATTCTTGTAAATATATGAAAAGTGCAAAAAGAAAACCGCGAAAAAATGCCGTAACCCAAAAAGTTGTCCCTTTTCTACCGCCGCGAAGTAGTAGCGTTTAGGATCCGCTGGGAGCTGGGAAAAGTCCTTTTTGAAGTTCGCTCGGTACACATAGGATAACGGGGGGGAATAAAATAACGGGGGGCACTCATTATTATGAAATTTGCAATTACTGAGGGATTTTGTGACTGCCATTCGATAGAGCGTCGAAAAATATACTAAGAGAATTAATTTGAGCCCAAAATAATGTAAAGGAAATTTTTTATTGAATAAACAAAAATCGAGGAAAATCTATGGGCAGCACATAGGATAACTGGGGGAAAGTCAAATTTTCGAAATTTTTGAAATTTTCGGTATTTTGAAAAAGTCATTCGATAAAGCGTCGAAAACTGCCCTAGGAGAATTAATTTCAACCCGAAATAATGTAAATTAAATTTTTTATCGAATAAACAAAAATTGATCAAAATCCATGGGCAGCACATAGGATAACGGGGGGGGGGAAGCCAAATTTTTGAGATTTTCGATATTTTGAAAACGCGAATCGATAGAACATCAAAAAATATACTAAGAGATTTTTTTACAACGCGAAAAAATGTATTATAAAAGTTTTATAGCCTAAAAACTATGTTTGAAAACTATGGGTAGCACATAGGATAACCGGGGGGGAATTTTCGGCGTTTTGAATATTTTCGATATTTTGAAAATGCCATTCGATAGAGGACCGAAAAATATACTAAGAGTTTTTTTTTACAGCCCGAAAAAAGAATATTTAAAAATACTTTTATCATATAAAAAGTTTGAGTGCCCCCCGTTATTTCCCCCCCGCTATCCTATGTGTACCGTTCGCTCGACCAGAAATGATCTTCCAGATCTTTGAGGCCGAACTGCAAGAGGGCCATTTGGGCTCTAGAAACGCGACAAACTAAAATAGGCGTATATTTTAGGACCCGGTGGGATGAAAGAGCAAAGGAAGACGCTGGAAGAGTTATTGCTATGCCCCGGAACGGTTAGTTTTAAAAAAGCTTTCGAAAAAGATGGTTTTTAGTACCCTAATCTCTTTGCAAGGTGTGGAGTGAGAATGGGACGAGGCGTGCTTCTTTGCGGGCCGTCTGGATGCGGAAAAACAATTTTGGCAAAGGCCTTTGCAGCCCACACCAAATTCCAGACGATTTTTATCAAGGTAGACGTGACAAAAATGAAAAACTATAGTAAATCGACGTTTTAGGGCCCAGAACTGCTATCTAAATACATAGGCAGTAGTGAGGAGAATGTGCGAAACGCTTTTGCTAGGTAACTGGCAAAATTGGGTTTTCAAACAAATTCTAGAGCCCGAGCTAGTGCTCCTTGCGTTCTGCTATTTGATGAGCTGGACTCATTGGCGCCTAGAAGAGGAGCTGATAGTACTGGAGTAACCGATCGAGTCGTAAATCAGCTGTTGACCGAAATGGATGGAGCCGAGGGGTTGAATGGTGAGCAAAATCAGCAATCTAATCTAGGAAGCCCTTTTCAGGCGTTTTCGTGCTTGGCTGCACATCGCGAGTCGATCTGATCGACCCGGCGCTGTTGAGACCAGGGCGCTTTGACCACAAATTAGTGTGTGACGCGCCGAATGCGGTAAGAAACACAAAAAAAATTAAGGCTTTGGCACTAGAAAGATTCGAAAAAAGTGCAGAAAGATTAAAACTATGCAAAATGATTTTAGGAAGACCGCGAAGAAATCCTGGAAATCGTTCTAAAGAAAATCGAACGCGAGGGTGAATTTGATTTGAAACAGCTGGCCCATATGAGCGAGGGTTGGACGGGCGCTGACTTAAATGCATGGATGCTGAATGCGCATTTCCTAGCAAGCAGGAAGAACCCAGGTAAGCATGATAGATCAGAGACTAACCATAGCACAACGAAAAATCAGGCAAAACAAATAGTTTCAGGCGAAGATACCCCAATCGCGATGCTTAGGTATATATATAGATGATATCCTGGCAACATTTGAAGAATCTCGCCCGAAAGACAAAAGAGAGCAAATCGCTGAATTTAAAGCTGGTCAAAGAGTCACACTGGCTTAACTTTGTTTGGAATCCTTTTTTTGTACTATTTGAACAATTTTACACTCTATTTCTTGATCTTTGCTCAAATTTACCTCGTGCCTTACCTTGCCCGCCCAATTTGTCATGGTCATTTGCCAAAATCATTTTTGCCAGCATCGGTTGTGATTTTAGGAGATTTTTAGGAGATTTTAGCTAGGAAATAAAGATTTTTAGCTTTTTCCTCGTCTTCAGTACGCGCGATACACATTACGTAAGGCGCGAATAGGAAAGTCGCGTAGCCTCGCGCAGCCGGATTTTTTTGTTTTCGTAAAACATAATTTTCTTCAAAAAACACAATTTTCTTGATCTTGCCCACTTTTTCTTCAATTAATACAAAGTCGATTTAGGTAATCCGAATCAGCGCAATGTCTACCGGTAGCAAGGACCGAATTGCGGTCTTCCCGTCGCGAATGTAAGCCTACGAAAATTTCAACAAACTTGCTTTTAGGGCCCAGACATTGATGACAACACGGCTGAAAGGAGCGCACAAGGGCCACTCGCTGCTGAAGAAGAAGTCGGACGCGCTGAATCTGCGTTTCCGCGAGGTGCTTCGGCAGATTGTGGAGGTGATTTTTTTGAATTTTGGCTGTTTTCTGAAGGTTCTTTGATCATTTCCCTTTTTAGGCAAAGATGGCCGTTTACGGGGATGTAATGGATGATGCGCGCTTCTCCCTCGCCGAAGCCAAGAATCGAGCCGGCGACTTCTCACAGACGGTCATCCAAAACGTCGCCACGGCCCGCTACCGGGTCCAATACACCACCGAGAACGTGGTCGGCGTCGTGCTTCCGGTGTGCAAGGTCAAGAAGTCGGGCGCTGACCGTTACATGCTCACCGGGCTCGGAAAAGGTAACAATTTTTGATTTGCCAGAATTTTTGGATTAGGTGGAGCGAAGATTTCGGCGGCCAAAGCGAAATATGCGCAAGTCATCGAGCTGCTGGTCGAGTTGGCAGGGCTGCAGACTTCCTTCGTGAAGCTCGACGAGGCCATCAAGGTACTGAGCGGCTTTGAACTTTTTTCCCGTTTTTCACTTCCGGAATTCGATTTGTAATTCTAATTTCGAAAAGCTATGCGGAAACCAGGGACATATGTCACTCCTAGATTCCAATTTAGGTAACAAATCGACGAGTGAACGCCATCCAGCATGTGATCATCCCGCGGCTCGAAAACACGCTCAGCTATATCGTCACCGAGCTCGACGAGATGGAACGGGAAGAGTTTTTCAGGATGAAGAAGATTCAGGTATGTTTCCTCGGGTTTTTTTGCTTTAAGGCAATTTTAGGCGAACAAGCGCAAGCAAAGAGAAGCTGCTGAGACCGTGCAGGTTGAAGAGATTGACGAGAAGCCTGACGAAACTTCCGACAAGCCCACGCGAGTCCGAACAATTCTGCAAGCCATCGAAAATATTCCGGTTCTCTTCTAAATCACATGTGTTATACCTTGTACTTTCCACTCTTTCCGCGCATTTATGATGTACCGATCTCTGGTTTAGGATCTTTTTTCTTTCACGGCTTGTAGCCATCCATTTTCTCTGTTTTTTTCTGCTAGCATTGCCATTGATTTTTGCTTGAAATTTCTGCACAATAAATGGGTTCCCGATTACCGTCCCGCTCCTAACCGTTATTATTCGGCATTCTGAGAAAACCTTTTCGGCTTTTGCGAACCGTTTTTAGTGCAATGCCCCGCCGCAAGGTGGCCGCGACGAAAATGTCGTCGAATACGCGGACAGTGTTACAGAAGGCAGCGGCGGGGAAGATTGTAAAGGACAGGTCGCTTACTTACTTAGTGTGAAGTTGTTTTTTAGCCCTCCACTCAAGCCAGAGCCGAAGAATATGAAGCGCGAGCCATCGGCAATGACGTTGCATCTTATGGACTGCGAGGGGATGGTCATCTGGCAACGTCCACTTTCAACCCTCTACTACGCCGTTCTTGAACTCGTTCACCTGGGCACCGAATTTTTGCGATTGTAAGCACACTTTTTCCAATTCATTTTGGCATTTTAGGATGCCCCGATCCAAGCTCTTGCTCTTCTTACTATCAATCCTGTCAGCGGTCAGCTACTACATCTACCTTTTGCCGGGCGATCATCAGCCCTACGTTCAATTTGCTGAGAAGAAGCTGTTATGGTTGGAGTAAAATTTTTTCGTATAATTTGTTTTAGGTGGCTGTGGTGGGTCGGGCTTGGCGTTCTCTCCTCAATAGGGCTCGGCTCCGGGCTGCACACCTTCATTTTGTACTTGGTATAAATTATGATTCTGTTGTAGTGAGTTTTTCAGGGCCCTCACATCGCGGCAGTTACGCTGGCGGCCTACGAATGCGAAAGTCTCAACTTCCCCGAACCGCCGTATCCTGAAAGGTAACAAAATTTTTTATTGTGTGTTTTAATAAGCGATGTTGTAGCATCGTCTGCCCCGACCAGCGTGCCAGCTCCGCGGTGAACCTCTGGGCAATTGTTTCAAAGGTGATTTTTTGACGTGCTCAGAAAAAGATTATAATTAGGTCCGGGTGGAGGCTCTACTCTGGGGATCGGAACGGCCCTTGGCGAACTGCCGCCTTACTTCGTGGCTTGTGCTGCACGTCTAGGAGGGCAAGAGCCGGATGATGAAGATTACAAGGCGTGGAAGCGCGCACTGCGTGGGAAGGCCAAGAAGCAAATAGTAATATTTTATCTATTTTCATAAAAAAATTGTTCAGACCGTTACGGATCGCGTGAAGCTTTGGGTCGAGGCGACGGTGACGCAGGTCGGCTTCCCGGGGATCCTGTTGTTCGCATCGATCCCGAACCCGCGGTGCGATCTGGCGGGGATCACTTGCGGTAAATTTCAGAATATTATTGTGTGGTTGATTGTGAAGATAATTTTTTGTACGAAGACAGATTTTTCAGGCCACTTCCTCGTCTCGTTCTGGTCCTTCTTCACCGCCACCCTCATCGGCAAGTCGATCATCAAGATGCACGTCCAGATGCTGTTCGTCATCGTCGCCTTCTCCGAGCACTACGCGGATCGACTTCTCGAAGTTGTAGCCGAAATTCCGCGCATTGGACGTACGGTTTCGCGCATTATTTAGTTGTTTCATTTTTTAGTTGCATGATCCCTTCAAGGAGTTCTTGACTGAACCGCAGCAAGCGCTTCACGGCAACGAGGATCATCAAAGCCCGGTATGATCATTTGGTTAAAAAAAAATTTTAGAAGGCCGGCTTTGTGCAGAACGGGCTTCAGCTGATCGTCACCGGCGCCATCCTCCTCTTCTCGCTGTCGATTATCAATTGCCTCGCCCAGCGTTACTACCACCGTGCACATAAGCCTGTATAACTCTTTTCGTTGAACATAGTCTCTGTTTCTGGTCGCTAGCCATTTGCAGCTTTCTTTGTGATGTTCGGGCCTTTTGTTCTCCATTCTTTCTTCTCACTTATATATCTTTCAGTTCGGGTTCTTAGTTTTTGCTCTAATTTCTGGTTGATGTTTTTCTTTTAAATTGCCTTTGATTAATTCATTCCTTTATATTACGTCGACAAAGCATTGATACGCCGTATTCAGAGGCTATAGGTAGCACGGCCTACAGGTCAGATGAGTTACAGTTCATTATTACAATCGTCGGAACCATGCGACATTGCTAACTGACAATAATGGGGGCTGCTGAGTTCACAGACCCACCGACACCGAAGGAAGAAATTTTTGGTTAACGCGTTGATTGAACGAAACTAATTAGAATAATGGCGGAATTCACGGAAAAATCTGCACCCTATTCGCTCGTCTGTACATCTGTGATTGGGCGTCTATGGGTGGCAAGGAGGTGCGTCGATTTCGCCGAGAATGATGAGATTTAGCGACCGGGTGACGCGCCTGGTAAGGCGGCGATGGCCGCGCTCGCGAAAGCCGCATCGCCATTCGGCCCGCTGTTCCTCATTTTTCTGACACAGGTGTGTTTTGTTCAGCATTTTCTCCTGATATGTTTATGACCGTGGGGGGGGGAGCAAATAAGGTCGCTAAAGCTTTCCGGCCCAGAAAATAGCAGCCGCACTTGCACCTTTTCTTTCACCCTGGTCTTTTAGGTAAAGCAGTCGCTAAAGGTTTCAATTAACGTGTCCGACTAAACAGTGAACAGTTTAAAATTGCGTAATTTCAGGTTTCCTTGGTGCGTCAACTGCAGCGAAAAAAACGTCATTCCCAAGCTCTCAAATATGGCCCCGTACGACCTGTTTTGCTTATAAAAACGCTTTGTCCACAGCTGAAGAAAATCATCGAGCACCGAAGGGCTAATCGGCTTCGCGGCGGGTCTTCACTCACGTCATCACCCTCCAATTCATGGCTTCCCACCGGGGCCTGGCTGCGCGGCTACTTTTGCAGCGCGAAGGTATGTCGCTTTACACACATAAACCTAGACGCAGGTAGGCGCAGCAAGCGCGGACCTCCTTATCCCAGCCGATACTTACCAAAATGCCTTCTTCGCTCTTGGCTTCTCAAAATCCTCTAGCTTTCCAAATACGCAATTTTCAGGAAACTCCCCCAAAAGAGGAAGAATCGATCGGTCAGATTCGGGATGGCTCGCACCGCAAATGTACCACGGCTGCCCAAACCCAGGTCAGTAATAGAATTGCCTGCCTCCTGAAGCCGTAATCCCTTAATAAAAGTAATTATAGAAATTCCCGGACTACAGCTTTCCAAATACGCGATTTTCAGGAGAATCCCTCAAAAGATGAGGAATCGACCAGTGAGATTCGGGATGGCTCGCACCGCAAATGTACCACGGCTGCCCAAACCCAGGTCAGTAATAGAATTGCCTGCCTCCTGAAGCCGTAATCCCTTAATAAAAGTAATTATAGAAATTCCCGGACTACAGCTTTCCAAATACGCAATTTTCAGGAGAATCCCTCAAAAGATGAGGAATCGACCAGTGAGATTCGGGATGGCTCGCATCGCAAATGTACCACGGCTGCCCAAACCCGGGTCAGTAATAGAATTGCCTGCCTCCTGAAGCCGTAATCCCTTAATAAAAGTAATTATAGAAATTCCCGGACTACAGCTTTCCAAATACGCAATTTTCAGGAGAATCCCTCAAAAGATGAGGAATCGACCAGTGAGATTCGGGATGGCTCGCACCGCAAATGTACCACGGCTGCCCAAACCCTGGTCAGTAATAGAATTGCCTGCCTCCTGTAGCCGTAATCCCTTAATAAAAGTAATTATAGAAATTCCCGGACTACAGCTTTCCAAATACGCAATTTTCAGGAAACTCCCCCAAAAGAGGAAGAATCGAACTGCGCGAATCGGGATACCATGCGCAGCGGTGTCAAAGTTGTGGTCGGTAATCGAACTGCCTGCCGGGTTTTTTTTTATTAGAATAGTCTTGGTTTTTACTTAAATTATAATACACTAAAAGGTTTAATTTGACCATCAGGCCAACCTGGACATATAGAAACAAAAAAAATCGTTCCCCGTAAATACGAATACCCCACCCGCACTGATCTTTCCAGTGTCATGGTCTGTACAGCAACGTGAAACCTGGCCGCCGTCTGCGAAAGGTCTGTCTTCTGGGGATGTACGTCGATACGATCGTTTTAGGCAGGCGTCGCTTACTGGGTGACCAGGGCCAAAAATATCCTCTACGGCTGTTGCTGCTCGTGCTTGGTATGTATTGGAGGATTGTAAGACGGATTGTGCAGGCATGTAGGTTTGTGGGCTGGACGAATATGTGAGGAAAAAATTCGTCCAAAAAAATTGTTTTAGACGTAGTTTTGCAGTTGTTGATCTTTTTGTCATAGACAAGTGGACAGATGGTTTTTATGGAGGTGGTTCCGAGTTGTCATCCATTTGCTGGTATAGCAGCAGGCGCTAAGTCCTAAGCATCCTTTTGAATGGATGGCATGAAGCTTAAAAGTCAGGCAGGGTTTTCACGTTTTTCCATCTTTGGTCAGCTTTCGTCGTTGGCATATCATACGGAAATGCCCTTGCGGCCCGATTTGTGGTTTGCGATTTTGCTGTTTAGGCTAAATTTTCGACGCTGTGAGACAAACTTAAAAAAGATACTTAATTCATGACATTTTTCCCTGGTAGGATACTCTTCCGGTAACGTTGCAAGACTTTTGCGAAAGCGACGCAGAGCGTGGTTGGGAAGTTTTAGTCGCTTACAGGAAAGAAAAAACCCGCAGAAGAAGCGTAAATGAGGAAAATTCCGACCTAGATCTTATATTTTGGATGTTTGTCTATCTGTGTGGGTCCTAGAGGTTTCCGTTCGCTAAAAAACACAACGCCCCCTGCGACCGTTAGAGAACGATTTGGACATTTTGACGAACTCACCATCTTTTACGCCATATTCTTAGCAATCCTTTATTTTATCCTACCTTACAGAATCACGATCTACTATCTACTATATATAAATTTCTAATGTCCGTACGCCCGACCGACGACCGGGAATTCAGCCAAATTTCGCATTCAAATTCCAAATTCAAATTGCGGGGGGGGGAGGCCAGCGCTGAACACCCGCGTAGCGGGGGGTCAGCGCTGGTAAAATACAAGTTTGCAAAGTTAAAGCCGGTTTTTAGTCATTTTTGGGGGTCCGGGAGGGCTAATTTGCATAATGTGAAAAAAATACAAATTGCCTTATTCTTGAAAGTTGCACGCGCGCGTGTGGTCGGGGGGGGGGGAGGGTCCGCAGTACCCGCGCTATCAGAAAGTCAAACTTTTCATGCAAGGCCGCATTCCAGCGCCCAAGGCCCGCGAAGCGGGCTTTGGGCGCTGGTTGCAGAATGAAAAAATGTTACTTTTTAGTAGTGTTGGACAGCACCCCAAAGAGAGCACCCCGGGGTGCTTTTGAAAACACCCCGGGGTGCCTTTAAAAAGCACCCCGGGGTGCTCGGAAAAGCACCCTGGGGTGCCCTGAAAAGCACCCCGGGGTGCCTTTTGGGGTGCCTTTCGGGGTGCTGTCCGGGGTGCTTTTTGGCAATGACTTTAATATATGAACTAGGCTTTTTTGACCAAATCAGAAGATGAACATCATCTTCGAGCAGTTCGGACAAGTTGATGCCAAACTGCTTGCAACTCATTTGGGGGTCGTTTGGTAGCATTTGTTCGAGGTTGTTCAAGGCGGCGGACGATTTCGAGACGTTTTTTTCTAACCGCCCTAGTGGCCCTAAACCACAGCACTAGAGTTGTGTCAAAGTGTCTAAATTATGGCATTTTTCACGCTCTTTCCAACGGTATACTTAACGTTACACGAAACCGTCTGGGGACAGAGTTGGGAGCGTTTTAGTGCTGAAAGGCGTACTTGCCGAAGTTGTCGCAGCAGTAAAACCATCATATCTCGCTTGAAATTAAGTATTTTGGGGTGCGAAGTACATTATTCGAAAGAGCGCGAAAAGTTCTATCCGTGTAACGAGTTTCAGCTTTTGAGCAGCTTAGCTCAGCCTGCTAGGGCGGTTAGAAGCAAACGTCTCGAAATCGTCCGCCGCCTTGAACAACCTCGAAGAAATGCTACCAAACGACCCCCAAATGAGTTGCAAGCAGTTTGGCATCAACTTGTCCGAACTGCTCGAAGATGATGTTCATCTTCTGATTTGGTCAAAAAAGCCTAGTTCATATATTAAAGTCATTGCCAAAAAGCACCCCGGACAGCACCCCGAAAGGCACCCCAAAAGGCACCCCGGGGTGCTCGAGAAAGCACCCCGGGGTGCTTTTTGGAGCACCCCAGTGGGGGGCGGGGTGCTTTCCAGAGCACCCCACTGGGCGGCGGGGTGCTTTTTAAAGGCACCCCGGGGTGCAAAAAAAAAGCACCCCGGGGTGTTTTCAAAAGCACCCCGGGGTGCTGTCTTTGGGGTGCTGTCCAACACTACTTTTTAGTATTCGCCACCTCCCTCGGCGCCCACAACTTCTCGTTCTGCTTCTCCGGCGACCTCGACCATCCGAATTAGGGCCGGCAAGGCCAAAGAGAAGAAATTGCCTAAGGTGAGTGCCAGCTGGTGTCTAAACGCAAACTTTTGCTCTGGTCTTTGATGCAGGACTTAGCTTACGTACGACTTAGTAGCGCCGTATAAACCTTTGCCTACTCACGCCTGAAATTGTATAGATTAGACAGGTTATAGCGTAATCGTTGGACTCAATCACATATGCCCAGGGACGTAGCGTAATACCGGCCCCGGGGGCCCGGCCCCCGAAATCGGCCGGGGCCCGAAAATTTCATAAGGGGGGACCCTTATGATTTTCATTTTCTCAAAAATTTTGCTGCCTGCGGCGCTATTTTTTCACTTTTTTGCGGCTATTTGTAGAGCTATGTAACCTTTTTTTTCAAAAAAATTTGCCTGCGGCGCTGTTTTCTCGTTAATGTTTTGAGTTTTTTGGAAAAAAATTTTGGGGCCCCCCCGAATTTTTTTTCTGGCTACGCCCCTGCATACGCCCTTTTCAGAGCTTTCGAGTCGCTATTCGCGATGGCCGTCGTCTGGCTAACCGGTACGATCAGGACGACGCGCAATTCGAGGCGCATCTTGCCAAGGTCGCATTGCTTTTACTCATAGGCTGAAATAGGGCATCCCAAAAACGGCTCGAACAAAAACAGCCCAATAAGCTTTCAAAAAAATTGAAATTATTGAAACGTTTCCAGCAGTTAAAAGTACTGCTCCAACACGGCGACATCCTCAAACAACATTGTGCTCTCATCAACACCAACATTGGGGCGACCATCCAGCAGGTCAGGCGCTACGCACAGTCTTCGCTACTACCTCACAAAACTCAAAACTGAAAACTTTTCCCAACCAGTGGTTCCGCTAGAGAGCTTGTCATCTAGATAGGAAGGGCTCATTTTTCCTTGTAAATCCTTTCCTTTTTTAGCTATCCGGCGACCGACGTGAACTGGCCGATTTCCCGAACCTATATGCGAAGATGAAGGCGGACGTGCGTTTTTCCAACACCATATCATATTATCAGTTTCTGGTCTTATTAGCGCAGTATCTGCACAAACTTTGGGATTCTCAGTCGAATGGCGAAGCGAAAATCCCGACAAAATAGCGGAAATTTCGAGAAATTTTGGGACCCGGGCTGGGGGGAGGGAAGCAAAGTAGCCCTTTTTCGTTCTGGTCTTGTTTTTTACATTTCTAAGCCCTTCGCTAATTTTTTTTGCATTTTGTAACATATAAATTACCGAAAATCTTTCTAAATAAATCCTTCTGGTCGAACGAAAAATCTGTCTACTTTACAAACCTTTTTCTGATATATTTTTTTGGAACAAACTTTTTAATTACTTATTTAGGTAAGCATGGAAGAACGGCACATCCGCGAGGATCTGGGCGGCAGATCGGTACATATGGCTTCACGGAGTGGGGGGGAACAAAACAACCGGTTGCTCTACACTTCTATACATTTCTATTAATTGATTCTATTGAGTGCTTTTTCGCTTGAAATGTAGTTAAATCACTAAAACACGATCAAAACAGTAAATTTATAGGAAAGAAGTCGGTTCCCGCCGTTATCCCCCCCCGCCGTTATCCCCCCAGATGGCGGAAGAACAATTTTTTTTCAGCCGGATACGGTCTCCTCATATGTCCCAAGCCCGGTAAATTTTTGGTTTTACTGAACACGGGTGCCTTTGAGGCGCCGAATTTTGGTCTATATAGGTCGAGCTGCGACGACGAAGCTCTTTTTCTTATCTTTTGGCGGTTCGCTGTGAATTACTACATTTTTCTATTCAAGCCGGCATAGGCTAAAACAGCGAAAATCTGGAATCGCAGGCATTTTTTACCCCATTACCATTCGCCTTTAAATTAACCGGGAAACCCCCAAATCGATTCGTAGTAGGTTAAACTTACTAGGGGACCCCGCATAGACCCGGACTCGCAAATTGGCGGAAAATTGAAACACAGCGAGAATCAACCACGCTGAGCATCAACTCGTTTTGCGAATTTGGGGCTGAAAAAAATTAAAATGCAAAAACTAAAAAATAAGTTGAAAACTAAAACTAAAACTCGATAAATGCTACTTTCGAGTGTACTTTAGTTAAAATCGTCACTCGTCTCTTTGCGATGGCGTTCTCAGAACTTCGATAGATACGAAGTTACAAAGTTAAAGCCGTTCTTACTCATTTTTTGGGGATCCTGGAGGGCTAATTTGCATAATGCCAAAAAATAGAAATTTCCTCACTTTTGCCAGTTGCACTCGCGTATGTGGCCGGTAAGGGGGGAGACCTCCGAATGGCCCGAGCTATGGAAACGTCAAATCATACCTGCAGAAACCGGATTCCATATGATTGTTCTTTAGCCTAAGCGGATCCCAAGTCTCGCGAAGCGGGCTTTGTGCGCTGGTAAATGACTAAAATTTTAGCTTTGTGCAAATTTTGAGCCAATTCTGAGTCCTTGTTTAATCGGGGCCCCCTAGTTAGGCAATTAGGTTTTTCTAAAAGATTGACCGTCAACACGTCGTGTAGCACCCTAATTTCTACCTTTAGTGGATCGCGGGTAATACGACACTGTCAGACGGCTCGGCCCTGACCCCGCAGTATCGCTTTTGTGTAAGGTTTACGATAAATAAATATAAAAGATAGAAATTTAAACAACTTTTTAGGTTTCCCCGTTGAAGTGCGAGTATTGTGACGCTGGAGAGCCGCTCGTCCAGTTTGCGAACGGTTCTGACGGACAGATGGAGCGAAACACAGCCGGCCAGGTGGGATATCCCTTTGATCTTGCAATGCAGAGTTACATACGAAAAATTCCATGTCAAAACAACATTGCTTGTCAGAAGCCTGCCCAGGCCCCCGAGCCCGCCACGTCCAAGCCAACCGACGTTGCCGGCAATGACACGTCATTGGCGAAGCTCGCTAAAATTGTGGATTTGACCACGGTGAGGGAAATTCAGGTTGCTTTGACAATAATCGCAAAAGTCTCGTTAACCGTCCTCCCCAGCCGGGATTCCGACTTTTTCACCATGTTTTTTTTCATCTTCCCCCCTTAATCTTAAGAAAATGTCCACCACCGGAGAAAACGGCTACGCCCCTCGGCCCATGGTCAACCTGCCTGAATCTCGGCGGAAATATGTCTCTAACAACAGCGTGCAACAGACGCTTTCGGACCAAGCTAGACAAGCCAATTCGAAACTCATTCGGGGGAGCCCGTCTCTAAGGGGCTATCCCTCAGATTTGGGGGAGTTGGATTGTCACGAGTCGTGACTCACGACTACCCGGCCCCCGACGTGCGCACCACCTGGCGCACTATACTTCCAAACCGGAATCATCGACCTTCTCCCTCAAATGCTACACATCCATTTTATACGCACTTAAAGGTACATTCCGCTTTAGTTCGGAAACCCTGGTCAGGTTGCCCCAACTTTAGCACTTACCTTAACCTTGCGTGCTTTTGACCAATATCAGTTCTTCTATATGCCAACGAGAGCGGAATATCCCTTTAAAGTAACATTCACCGCCCCGTTTGATAAAAACTTGCACAATGCCGGGTGATTCAGTTTTCTATATCGCCCCCGAATATACCATCGGGCGATTCCCGGCGAAGGTTACCAAACTGACGTTTTCGCGCCCCGTTTCTCGAGTTCGCATTCAAGTGGACCTCACTCTTGTGTATCGAGCGGTCCAGGGTGCCCCGAAGGCATATCCAAGGGGGCGCCTATAGGAAATTGAATCACCCTGTACCGTGTACCGATCTTATAAAACCGAGAGGAGAATTTTTGTTTAAAACGCCTTGCGTAATTTTGACAATTGGCAAATGATTCCATAGGCCCATCCCGTAGCAATCCTCAGGTCTCTGGATCGGGTTCAACCCCGACACCTCGATACTCTTACCACTCTCTTTGTCCTGCCCCATTGTGCTGTCTTGATCACATATTTCGTGTGGCGGCTAAGCGAAAAAGCGGAATACCGCAAAAAATCACTCATGCCCTTCAATACATGCAGCGCCCAATTTAAGGCAAACGGACCGATTCTTTCGATATTCCGCTTTTTCAGAGCGGAGGTAACAAGGACAACGAATGAATACGCCTACATCTCCTACAAGCCCGCAAAATCCGAACGAACAGATAATGAAGCCCCCCGATCTTTTCATAGTTCCCGATGTGAGCGTGTCCCCGCCATTTGTATGTATTCCCTGGCCCTAGAATGCTCTCTTGTGCCCTATTTCCTCCCCTCCGCTATGAGAATGGAATAAACCCGGTGGCGCTCAAGCATGTCTTTCCATTTCCAATTGCCAATCAGCATTTCCAATCACTCAAGCATTAACGCAGTACGGTTTACAGAAGCGCCCCCCAGTCATCGTTGCAAAAAGTGGTCATTTTGTGGGGCGGGACTAGCAGCGACACTTTGTCGAAGGAAATGCCGTCAGCCAAAAGTTATCTCTCACTCACTCGATCTCTCTCTCTCCCGCGCGCTCTCTCTCTCTTGCTCTCTCCCTATCTCTCTTTCACTCCTTCTCGCTAGCTCTTTCTCACTCTCTCGCTATCTCTCTCTTTATCTCTCTTTGTCTCACTCTCTCTCTCTTTCTCTCTCTCTTTCTCTCACTCTTGCGCTCTCTCTCTCTTCGCCCTTACCTGTCGTGTTTTGCCAAACCTCCCACAAAAACGTCTTGCAAAATTAATGAGACTAGCGATCGGCTTCGAAAAGGCATCGTAAAATTTGGTTTTATATTTGCTCAAACGTGTTCGATATGTGATTCAGTGACTACTGCTGCCCTACTGACAATTTGGTTTGCAAACCGCTTTTAAAAACCGGCCCAAAAATCGCCAGGCCTCTTTTATGGCCTGAAAGACTAACCAAACTATTGACTTGCGTCAGTATGACTAAGTATCTAAAGCCATCGGGAAGGTATTTAGGTAGTTTTTGAGGGGGATTTCGGCTATGGGAGGTATCTGAAGCGGTCAGGAAGGTATTTAGGTAGTTTTTGAAGAGGATTTCGGCTACTGGGGTTATCTGAAGCGGTCAGCGTGGGTATTGATGAAGGTGGAGATGTAATGTGGTGGTGTAGGACATGGAGGGTAACCCGAAGGCCAGCCGATTACAGTGGCGAAGCGGCTGTAATTGGCTGGTATAAAAATGTTGCAGCAACAAAGAAAATAACCTTGGAACCCGGGGTTAAAATGCTGGTTTTCGGGATTTGCGCTATTTTTTCAGATTTTGAAGAGGGGTTTGATAGAGCCCCAAAGGATGAACTAAGAGTTTGAATTTTAGCTTGAAATACTTTTGGAGTAAAAGATAGATTCGATTTCTTTTGCTTTGCTGTTCGGATCCTGCATTGCTTTTCGACATTTTCAATAATTTTTGGAAATTTCTTTCAATTCATGAAGCACAAAAGCATACGAAAGGTTTAATTATAGCTGAGAATAACACATGATAAATTGGTTAGGTAGATCGGGACGGTGTTCCCCTCCTCTATCTGAAGAGTGCCGTTTCAGGCATTGGATGAGCAACCATCCGTCCGGCCTGCTAAGCGTGGTCCAGGTCGCCCCAAAAAACAGAGAAAGGTGCGCTGCTTTTCGGTTGGAAAATAATTTTAACACAATCGTCTGATCAGACACTTATTAATGCTGCCATTTAGGGCGGGATCAGGCCGGCAAAGCCAACGGTCAGTGCTTTCTGAATTTTTCTACGACAATTATCCAATGGTGCGGACGTGCAGCAGCACAATTTCGACTGCTCGGCACCCTAACCAATTCTTGATAACCAAATTGGAAGAGAAAATCTTCTTAAAAGGGGATGTTTTTCAGGTGGCATCTCAGTTTCAGCCGGAGCACGCCGATCTTGCCCATAATTTTTCACTGATCCCGATGATGGTTTCGAAACTTGTTTCATCGATATTTCAAGAAAGAAGGAAATTTTAATAGACTCCTTGAAAGTCCGCAGGGGTGACGGACATTTGCCCTCGGGTTATCTTCCGGAATTTTTGACACAGTAAGCAGATGTTTGAACAATTGCCGGGGTGCTTGCGCACTATTGCTGAGAAATTGTGCAAGGAGAAGCGCTTGCCGCAGCACCCTCAATAAAGCAACGCCTTTCCTATTTGAAATTTGGCTTGCATTAGCGCATTCGAAGGAGCATTTTTTTGCGTACACGTTGTGTTAGCTAATTTCAAAAAAATATTTTCTCTCGAATTTTTAGGAGGCCAAATTATGCCATTTTGAGGATTTTCATCCTAAAATGGTCTGTAACGCCTTGAGAACGTCGATTAAGCAGATTTGGCAACCAGAGTCGGGGTCAACGCGATACCCGGAGCAAGATCGACTTCGTCCGGCTTAAAACCGGGATGTCGCTCAAAAATGTCTCCTTTAGCACCATATCCCATCGCGATTTCCCATGTCGTAACACATGCCGTGCATCCAGTACATTTTCTAGCACTAATAAGATTCATTCAGAAGCCGGACTGTGTTCGGTGTGGCGAGGCGGCAAAAGACGATGCGTATGGAGTGTCGGCGTGCGGCGATTGCAAGCACGACTTCCGGTACGTTTGTTCGACTTATTAGTCCAATTCCGTCAGTTCTATAAAGCGGCTTCCCGAAGCGTTGGAATAATTTAATCTTTTTTCAGGAATGCCCTCCGGTACAAGGATGTGAAAGCCTGCCGCGGCAAATGCACACCGGACGGTTGGCCCTAAAAATTATAGTGCATGCCAAAAATTGGCACTTAAGCCGAAGATTTTGGCAGGGTAAAGTATCTCGTACCATCATCCAATCCTACTATATATAAAAAAAATAGTGTTTGTGTGTGTGTATGACACTTTGCATGCAACTTCCGTCAGGTTGTTCCAGTCGTATCTCAAGAAGGAGAGTAGTTAGGGTCATGTTTGATACGTCATTAGGTGCATAATGTCCAGGAGATGACTGCACACACATCAGATTTATCAAAATCGTCTATTTTCGACATTAAGTTTTAGTTTTTGTTGAAAAATCCGACACCCTCTTTGTTAGGAATCAATTAACATATACTGGAAATGGGGAGAGCCTATATAAAGTAGCAGAGAGCGCCTTTTTCACTTTTTTTCGGCGTGCGTCGTGCCGAATTATGCAAAGTGTAAACTTTCATTGGGTTGGACGGGGCCAGAGTTGAAAAGTCGCGAAGCGGCTTTTCAACCCTGGTAGAGAATAAAAATTTTTTATGGGATTTTACATATGTTTTATATAAAAACAAATAAATGTTTCGAACATTTTTGACTTTTTGGCCCAAGATGTATAAAAAAGAGCAAAAAAGACAGGATTTCCAGATTTTTAAAAAACTGGAAACTGTTAATGACTTTGTATCAATCACAAAACCACTTAAAGCGGTCTAAACCACATAATGTAGTATAAGCGGAAACAGGCCAATTAGTGCCCCCCGTTAACAGTCCAGTACCCGGTAAGCTACGTTCGGTGCTATCATTGACAAAATCGAAGCTATTTTTCTAGCGCCATGCGCCTATCACCGCCTTCAAGAGTTTATCGGCCTGGGCTTCAAGCCTAATATGATCCGCGGCCACGCCAACGATCCGCAGCTCTGAGGGCCAAATTAACCCGCGTTGACCGATTATGAATTTACGGCTGGTTTAAATCGATTTCTACTAGAATAAATGGATATGAACGTCACCTCCGCCACCTCTGATTGCGACACATACACGAGTAGTCACAAACCGTACAAACAACGAGGGGTATTATTTTTCACCTGGGCCACGTCCGTAGTTTCCGGGAGGCGGGGTGTCGGGTATCAGTTCATTATACAGTACTGGCCAAAATTCTCTCATATTTCTGTTTTTAGGCTATAACTTCGCGGGGCTCCGGTGGTTCTTACTGAAATTTACACACAGTGTTGGCTAGAGTGTAATATACTTGCTGTAGCGTTTTTATAATTTCTTGGATTTAGCGTCGGCTCGTACGGTAACATTTTGTCGAGCAGATAATAGGGTCCAAAAATTAACTTTGTTTCAAGGAATTTTCAGATTTTGAAAACATGTCCAGCGTCTTCAGCAGGGTCGAAAAGCCCTGGGCCCTGGAAGCGCCGGGGCAAAAATGTCAAGGGGAACCTCCGACAGGGCTCCCCAAGGTGCCAAACTCCCATCTTCCAGGGACCCAAAAAGGCCCTTCCCGGCTTCCAAATTTTACGAAATCGCTACAGTAGGGGTTTTCGACCCTTCTGAACACGCTAGACGGTGGTGAAATTTCATGTTTACTGTCGCTGAAAAAGGAAGCCCTAGATGCAGACTATTTCCAGAAATTCATTTAATAAACCCCCATTAGGTTCGGATCAGATCGCCCTCGGCTAAGTTTTATGCGTCAACTACGTTGCGTTTTGACCTAAACATATTTAGCTAAAAGTAAGAGGGACAATCTCTTATATTCCTTTCTGCCTTATTTTCTACTAGCTGCGAAGCTGAAACCGCTTTATCAGCCCGAACTTCTTGCAATTGTTAGTTCAGTTGGACGGTGGCTGTTGTAACAGTTGTGAACTTTTCGTCGCCTATAAAAGATGCCCTAATTCGCTATCACTGGGAGGATCGACTCTTCTGTTTTCGCGTGGGTTCACAGAATTTTGATTGCAAAAAAAATCGACAACATTTTTTGAGCGCCGGGATCGTTTTAGTTTCGGTGGTCTGATGAACTATGAACTTGCTTTTGCGTGAATTTCGTGAAAAGGAGGTGTTCTTGAAAAATCATTACAATTTTCGCTGCTTTGCATCTTGAGTATCCTGGGGAAAAGAAAGCATGCCCGAAATGCCATTTCTACCAAAACTACCCTCCTATCCCGGCAGCAACGCACCTCGATGGACCATGCAATGGTGAGTATTCAAATTGAAATTAAAGGCAGATTGTCTGGTCATTCGAATGGCAGTCGTGATGGCCAGATGAAGCCCAAAAAAAAGGAGCTGGCCGGCAGGAGGAGCAGGAGGAGCTGCAGCACAAAAGAGCTTTAATTGTGTCACTTCCGGGTCTAGGTGGTTTTCTGGATCGAGGCATCATTCTAATTTCGGCTAATCTTTGCTTGGCCTCAAGTTCCTTACGATTTCGCTATTTTTGGGATTTTCTCAAAGGAACCCGATAGTGCATTAAAAATAAACTAAAGCTGTTAATGTAACCCCAAATAATGTGCTATAAAATCTAGAATAGATATAAAGAATTTAGGGGTTTCACAGACTCTTACCAAACAGGATTTACGGCTACATCTAGCGGCTGGGCATGGACTAAAGTAAAGCCCTACCGTCATTCCTTCTAACTATATAGAAAACTCACTATTTCCTATTTTTGGTCGCAACAACTACAAGATGGACGAGCAGTATGGGTGACTGTTCGGAAGCTGTATCGTGACTGCTACAACTCAACCGTTGGCTCGATCGCTGGCTGATGTGGTATTGGGCTGTTAGCCGGAGGAGCGGTAGTTTTGGCAGGATGCTTAGGCTTAGGCTTAGACTTAGGATTTCGTTAGAACTTTCGTTTCTATTCTTTTTTTATTGTATTTTTGTAGTTTTTATCGCTTCAAAGCTAAAAGTGATATCTAAAATGTTTGCCATTTCCGCCAAAATAAGAAAATTATAGCCAATATTCAGCCATTTTTTTGAGCCGTTTCGACCGACAAATTCTGTAAAATGCTATTAAGTTGATTTATATTTCGTCACGGGATCACGAGGAGGCTCTGGTTTACCCCTCCCCCCGCTGCTCAAACCCTCGTCCCCGCGCTGTACAGTTCCGCCGGCCCAGCCAAGCTGTTAGGCAGCTGCGAGATTTCGACATCTTCATTGGCCGGACATTGCCTGCTTGCGGATCGTTCCCTATCTCGCTGGCTCTCTCTATCGCTCTCGCTCTCTAGCTCTTTCTTTCTCTTTCCCTCTCTCGCGCTCTCTCTCTCTCTCTCTCTCTCTCTCTCTCTCCTTCTCGCTCTCTAGCTCTTTCTTTCTCTTTCCCTCTCTCGCTCTCTCTCTCTCTCTCTCTCTCTCTCTCTCTCTTTCTCTCTCTCTCGCTTTCCGTCTCTTTTTCTCTGTCCCTCTAACCCACGCTACTGCATCGCGGGGTGCTACACCCGGAATGACACAAATTGCCTGCTTGAGGATCTCCCTTTTTTTCTCTCTCTCTCTCGCTTTCCATCTCTTTTTCTCTGTCCCTCTAACCCACGCTACTGCATCAACATGACCGGCGACTGCCGGAAGTCCGCCGTTTTTAAGAAGGTTTGTCTTAGCCATCGCTCAATAGAACGCTTTATTTCCAGTCATTCGCCACGTCGCCCAGCTCCCCGACGACCCGGAGAATGGCAGAAACCGACCCAGATCAGAACAACAACAACGAGAGAAGCGCATCTCAGACAATGTTTGAACCGATTTATTCTGTTTTTATCCATTCGGTTGGTTAGCTGTGATTGTGATCGTCTGGTGAATATGATTCTTGTGATCGTCTGGTTAATAAATTTCTTCAAAGCCGTATAGCAGAAGCTCGACTATTCCCGACCTCGCGGGTTTCCTAGGCAGTCATGTCTGATGGCGCTTTTTTCAAAGCTCGCTGCTTGCTTACCTGAGGACTTTGGAGTAGGTGTGATATAGCATTCTAAAGAGGTCGGCGGCGCGAAAGTTTTGGCGCGAAAATTGAGCTCGAAATACGGAGAATTACGTTCGAACCCAATATTAGGTTGCACAATAACTCATGGCCGTTTTCGCTTCGAGATAGAGAGAGACAGATAGAGAGAGACAGAGAGGATGCGCGAGATAGTGCGAGAGACTCCCATCGACTCAAAAAATTTGTGGGGCCAAAACTTCGGAGCTGATAACTTTACCACTAAATCGAAACTTAAAAAAACTTGTTCCAGCTTGGAAGAATATAACACGGCGTTTCTAATGATACGCAGCATTAAGAAAACTGAATTCAGAAAATGCGCAAACGAGGGCGGTTTTTTTGGCGACTTCGTGAAAGTAGTATCTTGGAGGGATAACTTGCTGTCTTTCGATCGTTCAAACCGTAGAATTCTACTCTGCAATAAATGACACCGAGTTTTTAATATTAAGTCAGTTTCAAAAAGTTACTAGAGCTTAAAGTTCAGGGTGTGGGCGACACGCGGCTCCTATGGACGCCTTGGCTCCGCCCGGCAAATTACCCTTTTTGACTTTTTTTAATCGGCCGTGGGGACGGCCTATGAAACCACGGGGACAACGTGTACAATCTTTAAAGGCTTATAACTCGGGGCGGATACGGTATCAGCAGCCGAAAGTTACACCAATCGCTTTGTCTTGCCGTGTCCTGTCAGCATGCAAATTTTCAAATCGAACTTAGATGTCGAGCTGCGACGTGGCCTGGTTAGCAAATTTATTTTGCGCGCCGCTTAAGAATCTTGAGATCAACAATTAACTTGTGTGCAACTTCGAAAAACCGGAGAATTTTATGAAACGACTGGCTCTTTAAAATAAGAGGCAAAACATTACTTTAGCCCCCCCCCCCTAGGTCCTGAAGTATTTTTAGCTCTAACCCTGTTATTTTACATACCTTTGCCTGAAATTAAAACTTTTAATAGATTTTTTGATTATCTATCGAACGGTGGAAGGAAAATTCCAATAAAAGGTAGAGTGCATTTTTTGTTCCCACTTTTCAAGGCCGGCATGATGGCCAACTAAAATGGCTTCTTTCTTCATTAGGGTTCTATACTTCTTCTCATAAAAGTTCTGTGGGAACAAGAAAACTAGGCAATTTTGGCCCCAGCCTTCAGGTCTTGTAAAAAACTATGAAAATGAAATAAGAAATAAATAAGTGGCAAAATCCTATAGTTCTTTGACTCTCATTCCCTCGTGCCGTTTTCAGAATGCCGTTACAGGTTTTGCTCAATTTTGGCGCGGCGCGTTAATTTGCATAATGCAAAATCGCGAAATTTGCTTATTATAGCCAGATGCACGCGCGTGTCTGGTCGGCGTGGGGACCCTGACTGCGTGAAAGTGAGAGATTGAAGAAAAACACGGGGTCCAGTGTCCAAGGGCCGCGAAACGGGGTTTGGGCGCTGGAATAGAATGAGAAATTGTACTTTTCTTGATCAAATTCACACTGTATTCGTACAATCTTCATGTAATCACCTGTAACGTTCCATAAAAGAAATAAGAAATTAATTGCTTAATTTGAAGCGGGCACGAGTGTAGAGGTTGACAGCGCGTCGTCGGGCAATCTAAAAACCCATGTTTTAACTCGCTTCTAGCAAAATCTTGGATAGTTAGAGAGCACCTCGTTTTTTATCGTCCTAACGCTTCTTCCACATCAGCCCCGAGGCGCGACAGGTGATGGCCAACGAGAACGACGAGTTCGCTTCGTCGGATCGATAGGTCACAACGCGTCCTCGGCGCACTTTCTTCATTGTAATCCCGCGGAACATGTCCTCCTTCAGCATGCTGAGCTGGAGACTTGGCTCGAAGGTGATCTAAATATAGGCAGGAAACTTCACAAATTGAGCAGGCGAAAATTTGCGACAATTTTTATTTTTTTAATATGTTAAAACTTTTTAAACTTTTATAAACTTTTTATGTCCAAAAGACGAGCTTAAATGTTAAGAAAATCGTGGATTTGTTTTCGTTGTAGGGCCGTACGGAATTATTAGGGAAAATGATCTAGGATAAGCTCTTACTCTCACTACACAAAGTTGCTAAAACCTTATCAAAAAGTGCAAATTTTGTGTTTGTTTTCCGAGGTCAAAGTGAATAAAAATGATGGTTGGTGATCCTAAAACTACCTTGATCTTTTGTCCCTCCGCCATCGGCATGTTGTGAAGTGTGATGTAGTTTGTGATGTAGTTGCATGTAGTGAAAGAACCGAGAGCCCAATTTAACCGTAATCACCTCAGCCATGACCCATCCAAGAAAGCGACAATCCGTTGCACCGGCCTTCTGGAGCAGAGTCGCCCAGTATGGTCCGATTGTCGGGACATCAGGCTGGCTGGGGAGCACCAGACTGCGGCGGCGGGCCGACGTGATCATCTCGACGAGTCCCGGAAAGATTGGCTCGTTCTCCTAAATGGGCATTTCCAATATGTTCTCATTTTATGGACCATTTTTTGTTTGCCACCTATAACTGCATTTTAATGATTGCTAGAAAGCAACAAAAAATATTTTTAAAGTTTCGAAAAATCGACCATTTTCAACAGTTGGCAATTTTTCATAAATTTTTTACCAAAAAATTAAAAAACCTCGAAAACTGTTATATTAATGGTTTTATATGGTTTTTTACTGGGCCGTACGGAAGTACTGGGATCCCCGCCCACCGCTAACGGTCCAGAGTCAAAACAAACTTTAAAAACATAGGTAGGGGGCAAGGTTTTAAGGAAAATTTGGTCCTGTTTTTCATGGATTGGTACAATTCAAATAGGCGGGGGAAAAGATTTAGCGGGGGGAAACCAACTTTTTTTTGTCGGCCCTGGTGGGGATAGTAATCAAATATAAAGTGTTTTCACATTGTTTTTAGCAAAATTTAAGCCTATCTAAATCGGAAAAACTTTATAAAGAGTTAGAAAAACGCTTGGAAAAGTCAAAATTTTGGTCATTTTTGGGTCGAAAAAATTGATTTTTCGACCTAAAATTAAATTTTTCAATTAAATGGGCAGGCTGGTATATGTTTTTGAGGAAGAGGAGAGGGCAAAGCTAGCAGAGATTGTGGAGGAAGTGCGGATTTGGGGGGATTTTCCGGGACCCGTATTCTGGAAGTCTTCAAAGTTATGAATCGACGATTTCTGAAATCTAGCCCGTTAGTAACATCGCCGGAATTTCGCCACCTTGATAGCAAACCGATAGCGACGGGACGTTATGATCCTTTTCCAGCTCGACGGCCTGGATCCACCACCTTGCCAGTCGCCCTCTCTTCGAATTCAACTATTCATTAATCGCCTTTTTTCGCGTGTGGTTTCCTCGAATGTGTGATCGATTGCAGTTGTGATCTAATTTGACGGGGTTCATTTGCATCGCTTTGCACGTTTACGGCTCTGCATCTGATTTCACGTCCGCATCTCTCTCTCTCTCTCTCTCTCTCTCTCTCTCTTACCGTAGTACGAGGTTGTTTAGTGGAATTTCATGTTTCCTGTCGCTGTAAAAGGAAGCCCTAGTGGCAGACTATTTCCAGAAATTCATTTAATAACACCTCCATCCGCTATTGTATTCGATGGCCCTCTTCTAAGTCTTGTACGTCATCTCCGTTGCGTACACGACGAGCAGACTGTAGTACGAGGTTGTTTAGTGGAATTTCAAGTTTCCTGTCGCTGTAAAAAGGAAGCCCTAGTGGCAGACTATTTCCAGAAATTCATTTAATAACACCTCCATCCGCTATTGTATTCGATGGCCCTCTTCTAAGTCTTGTACGTCATCTCCGTTGCGTACACGACGAGCAGACTGTAGTACGAGGTTGTTTAGTGGAATTTCAAGTTTCCTGTCGCTGTAAAAGGAAGCCCTAGTGGCAGACTATTTCCAGAAATTCATTTAATAACACCTCCATCCGCTATTGTATTCGATGGCCCTCTTCTAAGTCTTGTACGTCATCTCCGTTGCGTACACGACGAGCAGACTGTAGTACGAGGTTGTTTAGTGGAATTTCAAGTTTCCTGTCGCTGTAAAAGGAAGCCCTAGTGGCAGACTATTTCCAGAAATTCATTTAATAACACCTCCATCCGCTATTGTATTCGATGGCCCTCTTCTAAGTCTTGTACGTCATCTCCGTTGCGTACACGACGAGCAGACTGTAGTACGAGGTTGTTTAGTGGAATTTCATGTTTCCTGTCGCTGAAAATAGAAGCCCTAGATGCAGACTATTTCCTGAAATTCATTTAATAACACCTCCATCCGCTATTGTATTCGATAGCCCTCTTCTAAGACTTGTACGTCATCTCCGTTGCGTACACGACGAGCAGACTGTAGTACGAGGTTGTTTAGTGGAATTTCATGTTTCCTGTCGCTGAAAAAGGAAGCCCTAGATGCAGACTATTTCCTGAAATTCATTTAATAACACCTCCATCCGCTATTGTATTCGATGGCCCTCTTCTAAGTTTTGTACGTCATCTCCGTTGCGTACACGACGAGCAGACTGTAGTACGAGGTTGTTTAGTGGAATTTCCTGTTTCCTGTCGCTGAAAAAGGAAGCCCTAGATGCAGACTATTTCCTGAAATTCATTTAATGACACCTCCATCCGCTATTGTATTCGATGGCCCTCTTCTAAGTTTTGTACGTCATCTCCGTTGCGTACACGACGAGCAGACTGTAGTACGAGGTTGTTTAGTGGAATTTCATGTTTCATGTCGCTGAAAAAGGAAGCCCTAGATGCAGACTATTTCCTGAAATTCATTTAATAACACCTCCATCCGCTATTGTATTCGATGGCCCGCTTCTGAGTCTTGTACGTCATCTCCGTTGCGTACACGACAAGCAGACTGTAGCACGAGGTTGTTTAGTGGAATTTCATGTTTCCTGTCGCTGAAAAAGGAAGCCCTAGATGCAGACTATTTCCTGAAATTCATTTAATAACACCTCCATCCGCTATTGTATTCGATGGCCCGCTTCTGAGTCTTGTACGTCATCTCCGTTGCGTACACGACGAGCAGACTGTAGCACGAGGTTGTTTAGTGGAATTTCATGTTTCCTGTCGCTGAAAAGGAAGCCCTAGATGCAGACTATTTCCTAAATTCATTTAATAACACCTCCATCCGCTATTGTATTCGATGGCCCGCTTCTGAGTCTTGTACGTCATCTCCGTTGCGTACACGACGAGCAGACTGTAGCACGAGGTTGTTTAGTGGAATTTCATGTTTCATGTCGCTGAAAAAGGAAGCCCTAGATGCAGACTATTTCCTGAAATTCATTTAATAACACCTCCATCCGCTATTGTATTCGATGGCCCGCTTCTGAGTCTTGTACGTCATCTCCGTTGCGTACACGACAAGCAGACTGTAGCACGAGGTTGTTTAGTGGAATTTCATGTTTCCTGTCGCTGAAAAAGGAAGCCCTAGATGCAGACTATTTCCTGAAATTCATTTAATAACACCTCCATCCGCTATTGTATTCGATGGCCCTCTTCTAAGTCTTGTACGTCATCTCCGTTGCGTACACGACGAGCAGACTGTAGTACGAGGTTGTTTAGTGGAATTTCATGTTTCCTGTCGCTGAAAAAGGAAGCCCTAGATGCAGACTATTTCCAGAAATTCATTTAATAACACCTCCATCCGCTATTGTATTCGATGGCCCTCTTCTAAGTCTTGTACGTCATCTCCGTTGCGTACACGACGAGCAGACTGTAGTACGAGGTTGTTTAGTGGAATTTCATGTTTCCTGTCGCTGTAAAAGGAAGCCCTAGATGCAGACTATTTCCTGAAATTCATTTAATAACAGCTCCATCCGCTATTGTATTCGATGGCCCTCTTCTAAGTCTTGTACGTCATCTCCGTTGCGTACACGACGAGCAGACTGTAGTACGAGGTTGTTTAGTGGAATTTCATGTTTCCTGTCGCTGAAAAAGGAAGCCCTAGATGCAGACTATTTCCTGAAATTCATTTAATAACACCTCCATCCGCTATTGTATTCGATGGCCCGCTTCTGAGTCTTGTACGTCATCTCCGTTGCGTACACGACGAGCAGACTGTAGTACGAGGTTGTTTAGTGGAATTTCATGTTTCCTGTCGCTGAAAAAAGGAAGCCCTAGATGCAGACTATTTCCTGAAATTCATTTAATAACACCTCCATCCGCTATTGTATTCGATGGCCCTCTTCTAAGTCTTGTACGTCATCTCCGTTGCGTACACGACGAGCAGACTGTAGTACGAGGTTGTTTAGTGGAATTTCATGTTTCCTGTCGCTGAAAAAGGAAGCCCTAGATGCAGACTATTTCCTGAAATTCATTTAATAACACCTCCATCCGCTATTGTATTCGATGGCCCGCTTCTGAGTCTTGTACGTCATCTCCGTTGCGTACACGACGAGCAGACTGTAGCACGAGGTTGTTTAGTGGAATTTCATGTTTCCTGTCGCTGAAAAGGAAGCCCTAGATGCAGACTATTTCCTAAATTCATTTAATAACACCTCCATCCGCTATTGTATTCGATGGCCCGCTTCTGAGTCTTGTACGTCATCTCCGTTGCGTACACGACGAGCAGACTGTAGCACGAGGTTGTTTAGTGGAATTTCATGTTTCATGTCGCTGAAAAAGGAAGCCCTAGATGCAGACTATTTTCTGAAATTCATTTAATAACACCTCCATCCGCTATTGTATTCGATGGCCCTCTTCTAAGACTTGTACGTCATCTCCGTTGCGTACACGACGAGCAGACTGTAGTACGAGGTTGTTTAGTGGAATTTCATGTTTCCTGTCGCTGAAAAAAGGAAGCCCTAGATGCAGACTATTTCCAGAAATTCATTTAATAACACCTCCATCCGCTATTGTATTCGATGGCCCTCTTCTAAGACTTGTACGTCATCTCCGTTGCGTACACGACGAGCAGACTGTAGTACGAGGTTGTTTAGTGGAATTTCATGTTTCCTGTCGCTGAAAAAGGAAGCCCTAGATGCAGACTATTTCCAGAAATTCATTTAATAACACCTCCATCCGCTATTGTATTCGATGGCCCTCTTCTAAGACTTGTACGTCATCTCCGTTGCGTACACGACGAGCAGACTGTAGTACGAGGTTGTTTAGTGGAATTTCATGTTTCCTGTCGCTGAAAAAGGAAGCCCTAGATGCAGACTATTTCCAGAAATTCATTTAATAACACCTCCATCCGCTATTGTATTCGA